ATCTCAGCCCAGCATCCAGACACGCCATGGGAGACAAGGGGAGACAAAGCAAAGTCATCTCAGCCCAGCATCCAGACACGCCATGGGAGACAAGGGGAGACAAAGGGCAGGAATCATCTTGGCCCAGCATCGTTTCTATGCAAGAATTGAAAACCCCTCACAGCAAAGCTGTTTGGGGAATCATTAGTTCGAGCGCTTCTTTAAGGAAGCTCCCCCCAGCCCTCAGGAAGGGGAACTTCCACAAAGAAGCGCGGGCTATCCTGCGTCCAGTTACTAGTAGTTAATGTAGCTAGGAGCTTGCTGCCTTGATGAAGTAGACACCTACTGCTACTTGTTACTAGTAGCGAGGCACTTGTTACTAGTAGCAAACATTGTTACTAGTTACTACTAGTAAGGCACCTGTTACTAGTAGCGATGCACTTGTTCCTAATAGCTTCTTGTTACCGCGGGCGAAGAAAAAAATGAAGTCCTGACTCTTGGGCCGGACTTTCCCGCTCCCCCTCCCGCGCGGCTCCTCCCACGCTGCCCATCGGCTGTAGGAGACAAAGTCCTGGCCGCGGCGCTCGTCGTTCGCATGAGCTTTGGATCCAAAACCCGACTGTCTCCAGACTCAGGACCTAGGACAGTCCAGGACAAACAAGCCTGTGCCTGTGCCTAGCTCTCCTTGGGGGGGACAAGCTCTTTCTTGGACAAAGAAGCAGATTGATTAAAAGCATCCAAAATCAACCCTCCGACACTTTGTTGCGCTCACACAATTGAACTCAAACATCGGAACTAACCTTCAAGAACTGCTGTGAGACCTCCCTCTCCTTGCCTTTCCTCGGTGAACTGTCTCAACCTCTCTGCCCTCAACACCCCCCCAGTGGACCAGCGTGTTGCTGCTGCTCATCGGCTCCACTGGCTTCTGCTTGTTCAACTTCCCATACCTCAAAGCGGTGTCTGGACCAAGTATCGCGGTGCCCTTCACGGCTGCTTGTTGCTACCCCTTTCAAGAAGACGGGGCTTTTTAGGTCACTACGTGGCCAACATGTAGTAGTAACTCCTTCCAGCCTCTTTTGAGACCTAAGCAGGAGTCAAGACCCACTCTGCGCCGCTACACTGATGGACAAGAAAATCCAACCAAGTGAAAACTTGCTTTGTAAGTGTTGTAAGCCTTCCGGATCATGCGGCTCGTACTGTTTCAACTTCCACAAACGATCCTTCATACACCATGGCTGCCTTGGCAGCGAACTCTTCTTGTCTCACTGATCTTCTTCTGAACTCTTTGCTCAAAAGTGTCTGGATAATCAGCACATATTAAAACAAAATATTGCATTATTATTGCATCGGGGAGTTGATTCTCGTCCATCTATGCCAGTGCTAGCAAATGACAAGAGCCTGACCAGTCTGAGGGGCCACCGTAGGTCCAAAGCACCAAATAATAGGGTCTATTGGCATCTTGTAGGATTCATCAAGTTCATTGTTTATCATATCATAGAGTCATAGAACCATATCATATCTGTCTTTTGTAAAAATAACGACTCAAACTGACTTGCAAAACAGTAGAGCCACGAGTTCACCCATACGTTCGGTGCTCAACCCTGAGACCCCGTACTGGAGAGCGATGAAGAGGGCCACCACCGCAGCATCCAAGACGCCGGCCAGAGAAAGGACCTCGGCCCCCAGACCAAGATCAAGTAATGAAACACCTTTTCACTCATCTCTTGTGAACCTGCAATTAAGACCATCACTTGGTTTGCCCCGTGACCGCCAGTAGTTTTTGTTCCAATGAGTCAAACTTGTTCATGCATCATTGATCCACAATGTCCGCATCATCGCAGTGCAGTTGTTCCTCATGCCCAACCGCGAACCCGGCATACTTGAGGCCGGAAAGGCCCTCGATGGTGTAGTCCTCACAGGAGCGCCACACCTGAGTGCACCAAGAAACCGTCGTCATGTTGCATCATGTCACACACTTTTTGGGAGCTGTATGCTCTGATCTCGATCACTGACAAGGAGTCAGGCAGGCAGGGCCACGTCTTGACAGTGACAAAGGGCTCCAACCCAACGAACCAGCAAAACAACACAACTTCTTTGATCTAGCACGAAACGGAATCCGCGGAACGGCTGAGTCGTGCACTTTGTACAGGCAAAAGAACCCCACGATGATAATCCATCGGAAAATGTCCAGCACGTCCGCCTGAGTCGCCAAAATGCCAAATGCATTCAGTGACCAGCAAGATCGGCAAATTTCATGTCTCCAGTTGAGAAAGCTGCTGAATTACACTAACTGTTAAGACTATGCTCTCCCATGGTTTCTGTTCAATTGAATCCCCACGGCAGACATCCGACTCTGTGGACGGACGCTCTGGGAGTCCCCACGGTGAAGTCGCCCCCGGTCTTGGCCAAATGAAATGGGAGTAGAACAGCCTCAGTATGTCTCCCAGGTGGAGAGGGAGAACGATGTCACAGACAAAAACTTAATGCCCTCAGTTCCGGCAGAACTGCCACAACTAGATTTTCCTGAGCCCCAGAGATGGTAGGAAACAGGTGAACCATCAAAAATCCCAAACATCTAAACATGAGTATAGAAATAACTATATACCAACCAAAAATATCCGGTACTAGGACTTGTCAGTAGTAGAAGTAGAAGTAGAAATAAAAATAGAAATAGAAGTAGAAGTAGTAGTAGTAGTCGTCGTCGTCGTCGTCGCAGTCGTAGTGGTAGTCGTAGTGGTAGTCGTAGTGGTAGTCGTAGTGGTAGTCGTAGTTGTCGTGGTGGTGGTGGTGGTGGTCGTAGTCGTAGTCGTAGTCGTAGTCGTAGTCGTAGTCGTAGTCGTAGTAGTAGTAGTAGTAGGAGTAGTAGTAGTAGTAGTAGTAGTGGTCGTAGTAGTAGTAGTAGTAGGAGTAGGAGTAGCAGTAGGAGGTAGGAGTAGGAGCAGGAGCAGGAGGAGTTGGAGTAGGAGTAAGAGTAGGAGTAGGAGTAGGAGGTAGGAGTAGGAGTAGGAGGAGGAGGAGGAGCAGGAGCAGGAGCAGGAGTAGGAGTCGGAGTAGGAGCAGGAGCAGGAGTAGGAGTCGGAGTCGGAGTAGTAGTAGTAGTAGTAGTAGTAGTGGTAGTAGTAGTAGTAGGAGTAGTAGGAGTAGCAGTAGCAGTAGCAGTAGCAGTAGCAGTAGTGGTCGTAGTAGTCGTCGTCATCCTCGTCGTCGTTTCCTCCTCTCACCTCGGATGGCCCACAAAAAAAGTATTCCTTGATGGTTCCTTCCCTAAATGTCACCCTCGTTGGCCCACAAAAGGTGAAGAAACGTTGTTCTATTGGGGGAGGCCATCAGTCAATGGCTAATCACTGTGAAGTGCACCACAGTATAGGGCTGGGTGAAATCTCTGAAGCATTACTACAGAATCATGAAGTTGGAGGAGGAGTTGCCATACATCAGTCTGCAAAACATGACAGATGTCACTGGTATCCCTCCTAGTCAACTGACTTGTGAGTCACTTCACTCCATCAAACAGTAAACTCCCAATCTCAGGACCCAGAAGATTGGAACGTGCCAGCCCTGAAATCCGAAACACTCACGCATTGGCCCATGAGTGTCCCATGGGTGTCCCAACAACACCATAAAACACCGAGTCAACCGAGACGGTCGATCGACCCATCAGGGTCCCCGCTCGACGGTCGATCGACCCGCGGGAGCGAGCGAACCGCCAGGCAACCATCATGTTGCAGGCCCCGCTGGGAGAGATCTCCAAGACCAGGGCGCAGGAGACGTAGCCCCCTGAAGTTGTCTTGGGCAAGGTGTCAAGGACCATCACCAGAGAAGGAACAGCCGAAACGAAACCAGGTCCGATAGATAGTCAAGCAACATCAAGGGTGGGCGAGCACAGCGGGGGATTCACAACTGCACATAGCTTAGAGTATGAAACTTCATATAACAATTCAACTCTCGGTAGTTTAGTGTTGGGACCAGGCGAGTGGGTGGTGAGTTTTGCTGAGTCTAAGTTCCATGAAAAAACACAAAAGGCATCTTTCAAATTGCATAGCCCCTCAAGAAATCCTGTTGCTAAATGCAAAGAAGAAAAGAAATCAAGGTCTACTACAGTCGATCGATCGATCGATCGATTGAATTCAAAAGGTGAAAAACAAAAACAAGTGTCTAAGTCCATCGACCTGCATGGTAGTTGGCCAGAGTGAACTCAACCTCAACCGGGCCACATCGGGTCACGGTTCTCACAGGTCCAAGGGAAGACCTCATCTTCCCCGGTGATCTCTTCGTGTGGTTTGGGTTTGTTCATGAGCACCACACAGCCTTTGAGGATAAACACAAACCACCACAGCTTATATTAACACCAGACATCGCACTCTTCAATGCACATATATGTATATAAATATATATACATATTAATATTGTTTATATATAGATATTATATATATATATATTGTTTTTGTTATTTCTCCTGGATAATTCTGTCGGTGGGTATTGGAAAGTCCCATTGAACAGTGGCAAAAATTACTTTACTTCGAGTGATCCCCACCATGACATTTCAATCATTTGACTTGATGCCATAGTGAGGAGCATGTTGCCATGGTCGTGAGTATTGTAGTTCTCGATTTTGCTTGTGGGTCCTCGGGTTGCGTGCTGCGGTTGTGTGTTGTGGCTGTGGTTGTGTGCTGTGTTGTGGTTGTGTAATTGTGGTTGTGATTGTGTGTTTGTGGCTGTGTGTTTGTGATTGTGTGTTTGTGGATGTGTTTGCGGTTGTGCTTGTGGCTGTACCTTTGTGGTTGTGTCTTTGTGGTCGTGTTGTTGTGGTTGCGTGTTTGTGGTTGTGTGTTTGTGGTTGTGTAATTGTGGTTGTGTGTTTGTGGATGTGTTTGTGGTTGTGTTTGTAGGTGTGTGTTTGTGGTTGTGTTTGTGGTTGTGTGTCTATTGTTGTGTGATTGTGGGTGTGCGTTTGTTGTTATGTTTGTGGTTGTGTTTGTGGTTGTGTGTTTGTGGTTGTGTCTTTGTGGTTTTGTTGTTGTGGTTGTGTGTTTGTGGTTGCGTGTTTGTGGTTGTGTGTCTGTGGTTGTGTGTCGATTGTTGTGTCTTTGTGGGTGTGTGTTTGTTGTTGTGTTTGTGGTTGTGTTTGTTGTTGTGTTTGTGGTTGTGGTTGTGGTTGCGTGTTTGTGGTTGTGTTTGTGGCTGTGTGCTTGTGGTTATGTGTTTGTATTTGTGTGTTTGTGGTTGTGTTTGTGGTTGTGAGCTTGTGGTTGTGTTTGTGGTTGTGTGTTTGAAGCATACTATCTGCCACTCAATCTGCCATTCTATCTGGCAATATATCTGACATACTATCTGGCATACTGTCTGGCATTCTATCTGGCATTTTGTCTGGCATTCTATCTGGCATATTTTCTGGCATTCTATCTGGCAATGTATCTAGCAATCTATCTGACACACTATTTGGCATACTATCTGGCATATCTTCTTGCAGCATTCTATCTGGCAATCTACTTAGCATTCTATCTGGCATTTTATCTGGCAAACTATCTGGTTGAGGTCCAGCGGTGCACACTGCGATCCGATCCTTGCGGTTGAGGTCCAGCGGTGCACACTGCGATCGGATCCTTGTGGTTGAGGTCCAGGGGTGCACACTGCGATCGGATCCTTGCGGTTGAGGTCCAGCGGTGCACACTGCGATCGGATCCTTGCGGTTGAGGTCCAGGGGTGCACATTGCGATTGGATCCT